ATATTTGTATGTTTCTTGCTGAGAAATGCCATGCTGTATTAAGGTTGCTATTGTAATTAGGTAGAACTTTATCTTTTCCATCAGCATGTGATGTACTTCCAAAAAGAGTCATTTGAAACAAATCAGTGGTGAATGAAAGGAAGGAAGGAAGGAAGGAAGGAAGGAAGGAAGGAAGGAAGGAAGGAAGGAAAGAAAGAAAGAAAGAAAGAAAGAAAGAAAGAAAGAAAGAAAGAAAGAAAGAAAGAAAGAAAGAAAGAAAGAAGAAAGAAAAAAGAAAGAAAGAAAGAAAGAAAGAAAGAGAAAGAAAGAAAGAAAGAAAGATAGATGATAGATAGATGATAGATAGATAGATAGATAGATAAATAAAGGGAGGACCCACTTTTGATAAAGCCATTCTGGGCAACAAAGTATTATGTCTAGAACAAGAAGCACCTGAGTAGCAATAAACTGGTTTTTTGTGCTGCTGTATCAAAAAATAAACAGATTCATAATGAAATTAATAAACTTTTTATGATTATTTTCATATCCTATGGCACTTTGCAAGCTTTCTAAAACAGGGGTCTCCAACCTTGGCAACTTTAAGCCTGGCACACTTCAACTCCCAGAATTCCCCAAAGCTGGCTGGGAAATTCTGGGAGTTGAAGTCTGCCAAGCTTAAAGTTGCCAAGGTTGGAGACCCCTGTCCTAAAAGATGTATGTCAACTCGTAAAGCATTCCTAGCCAGTTCTTGAGATGCCATAGGCAGGAGGGAACAGAACTGATGGAGAAGCTCAGTTGCTATGACCAGAAGCACATTCCATGCATATTGCACGTATCCCAGGTTACTAGAGCAAGCCGGAGAGGTGTGTTTTCTACAACCTGCAAAAGTGCTCCGTTGGCAAATGTGATTTATGACACACCCTCAGAGGAGGGGGAAACAAGGTCATAGGTGGGCAGTAAATTATGTGGGGCAGAGCGAACTGCACTTGGGAAAGTGCCAACATGTTGCTCCTAATAAATAATTGGATTTCTTTTTAAACTTGGCTCGAGGCTCATGAATTAATTAGGGCATCCATCGGAACCCTGACAATGTATTTGGTTAACCTAGCTATCTAATAATATTTATGATTTGAGTGCTGTTACATTTCAAGGTGATCAATGGTTTCATTGCTAGGCACATCTGTTTAAATGTTGATAACAAATGAAAGAATGACCCAACATATTAGTAAAATAGGCAATACAGGTTGCTTAGAATGGAAGTGTGACTACAGTTTTGGATCAAATTGTACCAGAATAGCCTCTCCATGCCCATAGTTCCCACAACTCTTATGTTATGTGAAAGGGCTGAGGGAACTAAAAAGGTCTAAGAGATGGTAGAGAACTACTAGCAAAAGACAGGAGTTGAAAATGATTGAACAGCTGCTAGAACTGCTATTAGAGCCTGCCTCATGATGATAAGGGGGCAAAATGTAATTGTGCCTCCACAGATAGTGACTCAATGAATGTTTCAGATGACTTGATTCTTCCTTGAAAGAAATTATACTGAGATTGGGGGAGGGGGAGTCTCTGTAAGGAATATGCTGTCCATCTAGCAGATAAAGTTGCTCATATTTGGTCTAGATTGACCTTTGGCAGAACCGGTAGAGGTTATGGGAGCTAAGGCTGCCATACTTTGAGGGGAGTTTGATCTTGTTGGACCTAAGGAAATGAACAAGCAGTTGCAACTGCTAGCTCAGCCACATCTGTGTTAGATTTCTGCTCTTCCTGGCTGGTTAAGGCTGCCTGCATGATTGGGTCTGGTTAGTGATTAATTCTTTCTGAGGGAGAAAGTGGTCTTACTGGCTCTTAAGGAGGCCTTGATGAACCCTCTCCTCAAGGAACTTGACCTATCTCTCCTCAAGGAACTTGACCTATCTAATCAGGACAGTTTTTATCTGATCTCCAACCTTCCCTTTTTAAGGAAAGTTGTGGAGAAAGTAATCACTTCGTAGCTTCAAAAAACCCTGAATGAAGCAAATTATCTGGACTCTTTCAATCAGGATTTAAGATGTATTATGGGAAGACAGCAACATTGATTTCATTTTTAGATGCATTCTGGTGGGAGCTGTCTAGGAGTAATGCCATTCATTCTTATTCTTTCTGACCTCTCAGAGCCTTTGATACCGTCAGTGATCATATCCTTCTGAATCAGTTCTAGGAGTTGGGCAGCACTGTATTCCATTGATTCTCCTGCTTCTTCAACTATTTATTCATGGTAACAGCTGTACCATGTTTCTTGCAATGCTTGTACATAGAATGGAATAGTTCACACACTTTTCTCTGGTACCATAGCCATTACCTCATGCTGGTGATTGCAATTTTGATAATTCTGATTTCTTGGTCATAGAAAACTTTAATATGGGGCTGTTTTCTAAATTACCCTATTCTGAAGCTCTAACTGTGGAAGCAAACTTACTGGAAGGAAATGTTTATGAAAACTTCTGTAATTGATGTTTTGTGCTGAGAAAGACCTGAATTTAATTAAAAATTAAAAGCCAATTAAAAAAAATTTGTTGTGCCATAATCAACCTCCTCATCTTGTCAGGAATTGCTAATTCCAGTTGAAGCCAGCCCTGAAAATTCTCCTCACTGTTCCCCAACAAATGTACCTATATATGGGGCAAGAGTAGTGCAAAGAACCTTTGAATATTGAATACTTGTTTATTAGTTTACTTTATCCCTTTTTATTATTTTTTATAAATAATTTTGTAAATAATCCAAGATAGACAATATACCTAATATTTCTTCATTCTGTTTTCCCTATAACAACAATCCTATGAGGTGGCTTGGGTTGAGAGAGTGTGACTGGCTCAGTGGCCCAAAATTACTCAGCCAGTTTTCATGCCTAAGGTGGGACTAGAATTTTAGCCTGGTGCCTTAATCAATATATCAAACTGATTCTGAAGATCCATATTGTAAGCAATGGAACATTCTTCTGTATATTAAGTATTTCAGCTTTCTTGAAAATCTACAAATAATCTAGGTGATGGTTTGAGTTTTCAACTTTATGAATCATGTTGAACACTTTTCAGTATAGTTCTTTAAAATCTATTTCAAATAACCATCAATAAAAGGCGATAAAGATAATATATACATGGCACTATACCTCAGTGAGTTGTAAACAGATTGGCACATATAACCATCTTGGGTCATAATGACCAATTTAGTCTTTTAGGTTAAATGTTTTAAAGCATTAGAAAAGTCACCACTCTTTCATCATGAATCCTTTTGGCTTAATGCTCATGTTCCCTAAGTCACATAGATTGATGCATCAGTAAAAATCAATAATTATGGTTTTTGCTAGGTCCCAGATTTGTCATTGTATTACAATAGAAAATCAAAGTATAGTTTCACAGAACCAGTGGTATTTCGAAGTGTACAAATTGTTCTGAGAAATTAATACCAAATAACAAAACCCCTGTTTAAGAGTTCCTTTCATGTATTCAGCTCAACATGAAAGGAACAGGGACAGGAAGGAAGAAAGCAGAGAAGGAAAGAAATGCAAATTAACAAACATCTCTTGGAAAGAAAGCTGTCTTGATTGATTTCACTTTCAACAGGACAAGCAGAAGAGTAATCAAACTTCAGTCCAAAGTTCAGAGTCGGGTTTGTCAGCCAGTCACAGATCAGAGTTCTGCAGGAATGCCACACCCCAAAGCAGGAAACAGTTGCTTTCAATAAAGAAGTATGGCTCCAGGCTGCTTTTTAAATCAGGCTGCAGCCAGCTGCCTTTAATCAAGAGAGCTACTCCTTTACTTGGCAAGGAGCTTCATTGAGTATCTTTGATCTATTCACTGGATACAAGGGTTTGGAGGCCTTATCTCATCATCTGACTGCTCCAGCTGTTCTGATAGAGCCTGTGTTAGATTACTCTCAAGTGATTCATGACTTGATATCTCTTGAGGTGGACATTCCACTGGGTTAGTTGTATCAGGATTTTGGGGAGGATTTGCATTCCGGGCCATGACACTGGGTCTCATCAGGCTCACATGAGAATTTGACTCCTGAAATATTGGAAAAGGCTAATGTCAGAGGTCCAAGTAGTCCTCCCAACAATTTTACCTCCTCTGCAGAAAAGAATATCCTTGGATGTCTTCCTTTCAGTCAATCTCTGCTATTGATTGGATCAGAAAAATGTATATGGTAGAGCTCAAGAGTCCTTGAGCTGGATCTGCAGAAAGACAGATCCAAGGTATGAAATTATTATGAAAGCTTCTGTAGCTCTTTCTGGGTTTTCCATCATTCTCTCTGTTGCACATAAGAAGTGCCTCCACTGACAATCTTTAGTGCTTTACCTTCAAACATTTTGGAAGGGAGGCTGAGCAACATGCTATACTTGGAGCACCACTATCCATGCATGGACATGGCTATCAAGATAGTCTACCTCTTTTTCTGTTCTTCTTGTAGACATATTTTGCACTTTGTGCTTTTAATTAATATTTTTACTAAATACGCAGAGTAGCCTGAAATGAAATTTGATGCTTTTTACTAGTGGATCAGCCTACCAAGATTTCTATGAAGTTGCTCAGTTATGATTGTTCAAAGGTATTACATCTGAATTCACCATGTTTAGATACTTTGGAGGGGTTTATGCCATGTGTGAATGTTCAACATTTATTGCTAATATCTGTCCCTCTAATTTGCTAATTTCTCATATCATTGAATTGAAAACCCTTATTGCTTCATCTTTTACTGTAAACTATTTATTTTTTTAAAAAGGCCCTTCCCTTCAATATTAGCACTTAGTTTCATCCTTTCATATTGAAGATAATAACCATCCAGGCAAGTTGTTCAAGCTGACTCTGAAGCTCTTTCTGTTGTTTAAAATGGCAGATTATTATAGACTTAAATAAGTTATTTGCTATTTTGGTTCTATGTGTGAATGCAAGTATGTACTTTTATTAGGGGGAGGGACAGAAAGCCAGTTTGTTATATAAATATTTCTTCAAAAATATAATACTTGCTGTACAAATTCATTTTAGGAACATCTTCCATCTGTATCTGATTTATAATGAGTGCCAAATCTGCTATCAATAAAGAGATTTTTGCACCACATGATGAAAGGATGCTGGGTGCAGTCCAAGTAAAAAGGAGAACGAAGAAAAAGATTCCTTTCCTGGCAACTGGGGGTCAGGGTGAATACTTAACCTACATTTGCTTGTCAGGTATGCAAATCATTTTGAAATCCAGCTATGCTTTCAGTTTGTTTGTAAAAATTGATTGATGTTGTCTGGATAAAAATAATGTGGCATCTTGAATTTTAATTAGACAATTAGATGAAAAATCAGAGCATAAACTTTCAGTATTCCTATATTTAAATTATAAAGGGAACGTATGGACAGAGTTATGTCATGTGATGGAGTCAGTAATATATTTATAGACTTTAAAATATTTCTCAATATTTGGCCATATTCTTCACAAGATCTATTCTTTCAGGCGTTAATGTGGCCTGAAAAGCCCTGGAACCACAGTGGTTAAAAGTGTAGTATTGCAAGCAAATTTGCCCACAGTCTGAAGTTCAATACTGACAGGGCTCAAGGTTGACTCAGTCTTCCATCCTTCCAAGGTTGGTAAAATGAAGAGCCAGATTGTTGGGGGGCAATATGGTATAAAGCACTATGAGGCTATACATAAGGCCAATTGTCATTGCTAATGTGCCAGTGAAAGAATGGACCTAGATTTTTGGTATTGCATAAAGAAATTTCTGTATGTATATTTCCTATGTTCTTAAAGGAGACATGATCATACAACATACCTGTAGATCAACCAAGAATTTTGGGTGCCTAAATAGACAAAAAAATGAGTTCATCCTATCTGCATGAATAGATGGCACAGGTATTCCTCAACCTACGACCATAATTGAGCCCAAAATTTCCATTATAAGTCATAATGGTTATAAAGCAGGCCATCATGTGACTGGATAGGCACCTCTTTTGTGGCGGTTGTTAAGCAAATGCCATAGCCATTAAGCGAATCCATTGTTTGCTATGGGACATGTGTTGCTGGAAACTGGAAGTAAGGAACAGTTTCTGGCAAAAAACGTGTTGTAAATTGTGATCATCTGACCACAAGGCACTGCAAAGGCACCAAAAGGGATTGAGTTTGTAGATTGTATAGTAGGCAAATTCAAATGACCCAATGCAGTGTGCTGTTGAGATTTCCAGATTATAAATGATAAATTCCAACATTGTATTGTTGATTTTGTTTGTGTGTGTGTTAGTGTGCAACCTTTAAGCAACCGGACCATTACAGTATGTTCCACAGTATATTTAAATACATAGAGTACTCTATTGTATTGGTTTTGTTGGCTTGTTGAGCTTTAGTATGTATGTGTTGTACATGGTTTCTACATGGTCTTTTTTGTTGTTGATAACTGGGTTTTTCTAGGTAGATTTGCAAGTTAAGAGTAGCTGACAATAGATGAAATTATCACTTTTGGAAAAAGCAAAGAAAGAATATTGCTTATCCTAATTCAAAAAGAGTGCAGGCAGTTTACTCTGATTTTTCCATATATTTCTAAGCTGTGAGGTTTACTGAATTGTCCATATCAAGGATATTTTCCTACCTTAAAGATGGAATTTTCTCCTCTGGCCCCTTTGCTATTGTTGAAATATGTATGTATTGAAGTTGTTAAAGCTCACTAACTTGTAAAACTATAATGGTAGAAGATTCTCCTCTACTTTTCTATACCAGTAATATTGAAAACTGTAAAATTTATATCTAAGCATACATTTAGGTAGTTAATAACATTTCATGCATTTGCTGCTCTGATGAATATCACTTCATTCCATTGCATCAGTGCTTATGTTGCTTGTAGTTTAAGCCTCATTGCTTTTTCCTAATCAATTTGTATTTAATCTTTCAAAAGCTTGGGGCTGCTAAATGTTTTTGGGAGACTTGGCTACCAAAGCAAACAAAATCAAAGTTACCTTATCTACTTGTATACCTGTCAGCTTGACATTGTGTACCAGGCAAGTCCTCATATTATTTTTCAGCACTTCTGGAAACTCTCAGATGTAGTTGCTTCAATTAAAAAGAGCCAATAAGAGTGATCTGCAAACAAATGATGCAGAACCAACTTTATCTTCTTCAGATTAATTTAATATATCAAGGGAATGAGATAGACAGTGTAACTGTATCTCAGAAAAGTCTTGGAGATATCTTATGTATCGTGATATCATCCTTAGCAAAACAAAAAAATACATGCCGGATCCTAGATGAACTTACAGTTGGCTGAATGACTATTCCAAATAAAGCTTGTTAATGGTTTCATTTCAGCACAATGGGACATAACAAGTAGAAGTCATTTTAGCAATGATTTTGATGAGAACGTGGAGGAAATATTTAACAAATTTGCAGATTACACAGCAAGAACAGAAAAATCTAGATAGGCTTCAGCAATGGACTGAAATTAACAGGGATAGAATTTAACAAGAAGAAATATAATGTTCTACATCAGGCAAGGAAAAATATATGTATACGATGGAATTAAAGGATGGAGAGTACCTGCCTTGGCAGATGTATATAGTTAAAGGGACTTTGGAGTTCTTGTTGCCCACATGTTAACCAAGAGCCAGTATTGTTATACATTAATTGTTCCACTTTACTCTGTCTTCAGGTCAGATCCTACTTGTAATATTGTGTTCATTTCTAGATGCCACCGCCATTCAGAAAGGAGAATTAGAGAAGTCACTCCCCAAGGTGGGGAGTCTGGAAACAAAGCCAATGAGAACCAGTTAAAGGATCTGGTGGATATATCTAACCTACAAAATATGATAACAGTCTTTAGCTATCTAAAGGGCAGTCATAAAGAAATGATTTTCTATTGTCCTGGAAGGCAGGACTAGAATAAGTGGGTTGTAACTACAAAGAGGGTGAGATTACAGGTCTAAAGGAACTTCTTAATGTATGAATTGTCAGACAGAGGAATTGACTTCTGGACAGAGTGGTGGTGAGTTCTCTTTTGCTGAAGATCTTCAAACAGAAACTGCATGTCATTTGTTAGATATATTCTGGTAAATCCTAAACTGATTGGGGAACTTAAATAACAGCAAGGTCATTTCCAGATCTATGATTCTTTGATAGAATCTGCTCTGCTCTTAAGAACTCTGGCTCTTGACTAATTTTTCACCCAGTTTATGTTATGATCTTTTTTTTAAATGACACTTCATTTTTATAAGCTCCTTTGTAGACTCACTTGAAGAGAAAAGAAATACCTTAAATGTAAAAATAATAGTATAAGTATAAACAATACATTAAATGGATACATATAAGAAAAATAAAAAGAATCAATAGGACAGGGACGGTAGGCACGATGGTGCGCTTATGCATGCCCCCTATAGACCTCTTAGGAAAGGGGTGAGGTCAATAGTAGACAGTCTAAGGTTAAAGTTTTTGGGGGTTTGGGGAAGAAACCACAGAGTTAGGTAGAATATTCCAGACATTGACTACTTAGTATGCTAATTGTTTCAAATTATATAGATTTATAGATTGTGTACCCAGTTCTAAGACAGGAGATTAACCCTAAAAAAGAACAAGTTGCCAAAGGTCTCTGTATTTAATGTGTATGTTTTCCACAAAAAAATATAGTGGTGCAATCTGTTGCATAAATTCTTTTACTTTATTTTATAGTGCTCATAATCTTCCCCAGTTACGAAGTACTTTGAATGGTATACACTACAGCATCAACAAACAGAAACTCAAAGATATAATAACAAAGAAGGCAGTCAGAATAATCATGGAAACAAAAACAGCAAATATAAAAGCCAAATAAAAGCCAAGATAGATAGCCACAGTTAGTCAGCTAGGACTGAAAGTGCTTTTAAATAAAACTATTTCAACAGGTTTCTGGGATTGCAACAAAGTGTGAGCTGTACTTTCTTCTGGAAAGAGTGTGCTGTTGTACAGAAGACCTGCCGTTTCATTCATGCTCTGGGACCTTAAAGATTAGAGGGAATTTTCAGCAGATGTGCTCTCCATGATCAGAATAGACATGCCAATTCAATTCTAGCACGGCATTGCCTGATGTATCCTGATGCTATTCTTTTTAGGGCATTAAAAATAATAGCCAGCACTTGGTCTTAGAAGCCTAGTGTCAGCTGGTGCTCCATTCAAAATCCAAGAAAGAAATACTTAGACTCCTTTGATCAGAGAAAAGATATCTTTTACTGGAAATCAAGTGGTAGCAACAAAAGAATTCTGAATCTGAGAAAATGGGCGCGTAAATCACATATACAAAGTAATGGCAACTTTCCCACCCCCAATAGTTCAAATGGTTCATCCAATTAAAAGTTGTGTATATCATCATGTGGGCATCTCCAGGTGGTGATGAGGCTTCTGTCCGTTGACCTTGACATAGTTTGATAAAAAGTTGCAGCTGCGCATAGCATAGAATAGAAACCTAAGCAAGAATGTACCCCCCCCCCCCCCAGTTTATACAGTTCTAGTTTGTAACACCTCCGGCTCACTTCCCATAACCATTCTCCCCATCCTCCCCCCATTACTTATGACAGCCAAAAGATGCAAAGCAAAAGGAGAAAATCTTGAAGGCTGACACCTAGTGGCAAACTAATGCCACAGCTTTAATATTAGTGATAATTCTTTAATCGACAGGGCTGTCTTACCTATGATCTCGTTTACCATGTTTTGTATCAGCTGCAGCTTCTAGGTTGTCCCCAAAACCAGTTTTGGTGACCTTCCAATATTTTAGTTGTAGTTTTTCTAATGGAAAGTAAACAGTAGTAGGATAAAAGAGGAAAGTTTATGATCAAAGAGAAAAAAAATATATGAGGAGGGAGAAAAGTTACTAAGCCATTTTTTTTATCTTGATCGTGGCTGATTCTGGAAAAAGATTGGAAAGCTCTGGATCTGCAATTGTGAAATCTTATCACTTTCTAGGAAAGAAATTTGGAAAACCAGAGAAGACTAAAGCTTTACTTTTTAAGTTATAAATTCATATTCTGCAGTTGAGCATTTGCCTTTTAAATATTTTTATAAATTTATTTTGGACATAGAGTTTGCTTTAGAAATCACCGCTACATGGTGAAAAAAAAAAATAGATTTTGTTTTGCCATTTTGAAATGGTGTCCACAATTATGCATATATAATTTGTTAGTTATCAAATCAGTAGAGTGGCTTTTTTAATGCAAAAACTTAGCTGTCTCTC